CAATATTTTGCGAATTTCACTAGCATGTGGTAAATGCATGGTATAACTTATTATCATACATAGATATAGCGAAACGAAGGTTTCCATAATTATTAGGCAAAATTATTCGTATATCTTATTATTCATGGTCAGTTCATTACCTCTGTAAAAACTGAGGCGTTCTCCAGCAAATTCAGATGGATCATTGATGCCGAACTCATAGTCAAGACTGAGCAATTCTCGCACAATCAACGATGTGCATTCAGGAGTTGGATGAGCACTGAAAAAATCTCTCGTTTTCTTCCAAAGGAAAATTAATATACTAACCATGTTCGTTCTTTTTCGGCATCACTTCCAATCTTTTGGCCAACAGCCGCGAAGGCATAGGTCATTCTGATCACTGCTTCGGTGGTTGCTGATTGCATATAGCGCAGTGCCATTTGAGTTTTTTCAACTTCGCAAGCCTCATCGGTACAATTGTAAACCTTAACTCACTTATCAATTCAAAAATTTTCAAAAACATACTCTCTTACTTGTTGTACATAAGAAGTCAGAAGCTGATAGCTTTGATAGTTGTTTTTCAAAACTCGAAGGAAGTAGTCTCGGAATTGAGGCAGGTCAATGAAGTGCGGTTGCAAGGAAATGATCTGCAAAAAATGCATGCATTGCTAATAAAGTTTATTCTCTCTATGAAGGTGAAGATAAATTGCTCTTGTTTATGAATACAAGCAAGTTGTTGACGAATTTGAACTGTCATATCGCTTTTCAAAAGGCCCTCCTGTTTCCCATTACTGTTGAACCGTACCTCAATTTCAGCCTGCGGATGTAAGATCTCGGTCTGTTCTTCACTATCTAGGGCTTCTCCATCAACTGGTAGCGAAATCCACAACTTATCCATTTTGTACAACGATGGGTCATTTACAGCTGCCATGAGCTAGACAATTCATTCTGTCAATGTCAGATGTGAAAGTAAGAAATGAAGTTGCTTACATCAGTTTTAGGCAGTAAGGAAACGATTATATCGCTATCGCTGTCTTCAAGAGCTTGTGCTAGTTGTGGATGATCTACATGTAGTACATCTGACACGAATATGTCGGCTTCATTCAGCTGATTCACAACTCTAAAAATATTTTTTTT